CAGTCACACAGCTAAGAGAAGACAACAACGAGGAGAGAGTGACAGAGGCGAGAATGAAGATGATGATGATGATGATGATGAGCGAGGAGAAATGAATAAGACTGACAGTGGGAATGATGACATGGTTGGCTCTTCGAGCAAGCATGAACTGCTCGACAGCATGCGGTGGGTGCCAGAACCAGCTAAGACCAATGATGAGGTCTCAGTGATCAATTGTTATTTGAAGATAGTGGCCAAACATAAGGCAAGAAAGGGCAGAAAGGCTGGCAACCCAGCAAATTATCACGGGAAGATTCTTCAAGAAGCAGAAACCCTCACAGGGTGAAATTAAGCAGCTGTAAGAGTTCTGAAATGTGTTCTTTGGCAAGCATTGGATGTGGTTTCCTTGAGAGGCCTTTGCCAAGTGCGGCTCTGATGGTAAGCTTCCACTAAAGACTCGGGTAGTCAATCAAACCATGAATGTAAGCCAAGTTTATGCCTAAAGATTTAGATCGGCTTACCTCTTCTAGTCCATGAAGAACTGGTTTTGTGCGCGAGACAACGACATTGCTGTAGGCTCAAAAAACCTGTGGCAATTAATTCCTTCTGAGCTACAAAAGCCCCAAATGAGGTAATGAGGCAGCCTCAGGCATGGGAAGCTATACTCTAGTCGAGAGTTTGCCAAGGTATCAGCAGCAGCCGGTCTGGGCGCAGATATCGGCACTTGCAACAAGCTGGCAAAGCAACTATTCAAGGAGAAGCCTGAGAAAGTGCAGCAGTGGTATACAACTAAAGTGAAGAATATCCATGCACAAACACTGGCTCACTATGAGGCCACTGTAGAATGCAAGCTGTCAGACAATCCTGTTGAACAATAACTGTAAGTCATGCTCACTGTTCACTGGTCTTGTTGTTCCCTGACTTGTGTCCAGAGCCATTGATTGCCTGACACTAGTCATGTGTTCAGTCATGGTGCTAATATCAGCATATACAGAATATTTATATGTGTCCTTTATTGCTGGTATGTATGGTGACAGAGGAAAGGTGGCTTCGTGCACACAGCTCAACAAAGGAACTGCTTGCGCAAAAGTTTCCCCAGTGGGATTCAAAGTTGTTTCTCATGTTTGTCTTTGCAGTATGAGGTGTGTCTACCATTTCAGTCAGCAACACTCTTATTTAAAAACTTTTAGGCATATCTGAGAGAGAAAACGCAAATATGGCCTCTAAAACCGATGAATGTACAATCACCAACACCAAGCAGATAGACCCACCTCAAGGCTCCCATGCCAGCTAGAAAAAAGTCAAACAACCAAACAAATGCTGTGCAGCAAGTCTACTGCAGACTTTACTGGGCAGATGTGCAACAAGACCGTAAAGCAGGGGGTCAGAAGCAGTGCAACAAAAATTGAGGAAGACACAGCCAAAGATGGACAAAGCCCCACCCAGCAAAGTCCTGTGCCACGCTCACTTTTGACTAGAGTGATGTGGGCCATAGCACAGGTGCTTGGCGGGTACATTTCTTCATTTCTTGCCATACTACAAAACTTCTTTCTATTATTTGCACTGTTTTAGTATGAATCTTTTGTTCATGACATCAATGTCAGTGTTTATACAATAGTAATATTTTATAACAACAACAGAAACTAAATCTATATCTAGTATAGTAATATGCAGGGTAAGGCTCAAATTTCACAAGCTTTAGAGGCCTGGTTTAGGATCTCAAGCAAAGCTTAAACCTCATCAAAAAAAACTCAAAGGTGCAAACAAAGGCACTTACTTAAAAGACC